TTAATAATTCAGCACGTACACGTATCGTTGACAGAAAAATCTTTCGAAATTTTTCACGGAGCATAACAATTAATTTCGCAAACTATTTAAAAAAAAAATAATGGATATGATTTTTCCCATTTTCGTAAATTTTGAACGTTTATACAAATTCATCAGAAAGAAATGCAATGCTCGGCATTTACCAACCCTGCTCTATTACGCCTATACGAAAATCCAGCAATTATGAAAACGATCACGCTTCCCGTGATAAAGAAGATTTGTGAAAACAATCATGACTTTTAACAATCATGATTTTTAACAATCATGACTTACTCTACTAAGGGGGATCACTAGTTATCGAGCGATTCCTATTCATTTCTTTGCGTCTTTCAGTAATTATACTACATTTTATTATTTTCCAAAAAATGAAGTGCCAATATTTATTCTAGAAAGTTGAAAATATATTGGTGAATTTTTAGAGATTTTTTTTTAATCATTCTGAAGGATAGGTGAAAAAAACGGATTCCCTCGTTAGTATGGATGAAGCACCAAATTGTACCTAGTAGGGTAAGAATTAAATCAGAGACATCATAAATTCATCTTGAGATTTTTTTGCGATCTTTCTCTGACGCTTCTAATCAAAGACAAAAAGAGATAATGCTTTTATATTATAATGTCGTCGAGAACGAGAAATTTCTTAACGCAACTTTCTGTTAACTTTGTATCGTTCGTTTCATTCGATCCCGCGATTTTCGCCGGTCGACGAATATTAAGCTTTCGCACCTTCAAATTGAAACCATACACCACCGCTATCCAATCTCTATGCAGATGCGAGACGAACATGTCGGATAATGCACGAGAAAAAAAAGTGTGCTATCGCACGGCAGATAAAGAGAGCCATCCGATTTCGGTGGCAAAATCATTCAGTGAATTCCTATATTCTTCCTCACATTTTCGGTACCCTCAAATTTATCTGTGGTACTTTCGTCAATGCTCTGGGGCGTGAGTATCTTTGAAACAGAAAATCCAAATAAAATAGAAATATTGTTGCGAACTCTTCTGCAGGAAGAATGTCGCACGATGGTAGAACTGCTGACTCTTTTAGATTGTTCTATCAACGAAACAAATCGAATGCGGGGCACTTGTATTTTTAATCTAAAGTGGAAAATGAATAAGAGGTTTATGTTAAGCTTGACAATACAAAAATAATTTTATCGAGATATTCATTTTATCATATTTATTATAGAAACAACCGCGATAAAAAGTTGATCGTAAAAACGATCATAATACTCAGGTATTCCATATCAAAGCTTCTCGTATATAATAAATAATCTCATAATAGTACATGCCTCTCATGCAACGTGAGAAGTATATTCATCATTAATAAATAACGATGGCTGTGCAAACGCGAATGTCCTCCGTTATTTAAAAGAAGATTATTTTTACGACGAAAATGACATCACCAAGCTCAAGAGAGGAGTTAATAACTAACGCGGCTTCTTCTTCGTGAAACTATGAAATAGAATTTTTTTAAAATCCTCGAACAATTTTTCTTCATCATGAAACAATTTTTATTAGCAAGAATATCACAAGAAATATCACATACATACAATCTCAAATATTATTAAAACTTTCACCAAGAAGTTTAGACACTAAAGATAATATTATAATAGACACTATGATAATATTAAATGAATTTCATAAGAAATAACACTTGTTATTTTGTTTCATTGTTTTATAAAAACAAATAAATAGTTATTAATGCATTCTAAACATCTCATTATTTTTAGATAAACGCGTTGAGCAAACTAAATTTGCTGATTGGAACTTCAGATTAGCATTTGTTTACTTCATTAGATAATAAGCAGAAAAGCTGTTATTTAAATATGACAATCATTATGATGGTTTGCTTTTGTAACACGAATTTCAAATTTTAATCCAAATTGTACTCCCGTTTTAACTTGATTCGAGATAATTACAACATCCATTGCGCGTTAATGGAACGCTGGATGATCGGTTTTTATCGATGTAATGGATCAAATAATTGGATCGAATTCAAAACATTAAACGTGCCAAGTTTCATCCAAATCGTTACTGATATCGTGGATTTTTGAGAGAAAAAATGAGGGAGCGAGAGAGACAGATAAATATAGATAGATAAGATAAATATAGATAAGAATAGATAGATAGATAGATAGATAAAACGTTTATTATAACATTCTAGGACAAATCCTCTAAAAATAAAGAAAATAAATAAAAGCAATGGATCCAAAGAAAATAAATAAATAAAAATACATATATAAAGAAAATAGAGCAAACAAATAAGGAACAATAACAACTTTGAAATTACAATTTCAAACAACATAATACAAAGAAAATAATATAAAACAAAGGAAAAATGAAATATAATAATATGACATAAAATAAAACGAGAGAGAGAGAGAGAGAGAGAGAGAGAGAGAGAGAGAGAGAGAAAGGATACTTCTACAACAGAGCCGTATAGACTACGTCTGTCACAGTCGATAACGCAACTAAATGTTAATTAATACGACATGACATATGCAATTGGCACTAATTTGAAGGCCAAATCGGAATGCCCAGCGGGGAACTAAGGGGGAGCAATACGATTGTGAGCGTAATAATGCAGTGCCTGCACTGAATGTACCTCAACGACTCGAAGGCATCGAACTCTGTTCAGCCGCCGGGGATTGTCGGCTACATCGAAATCGAAGAGATTTCGAAGGCCGCTATCGCGTGTACGGAAAGCATTTAATTACTGATGGCTCCTGGCGGAACTCTTGAATTCAATTTCACCGAAAAATAATCAATGAAACGTCAGCCATCACGAGACCGATCAATGTTTCTTGTCGAGTTATGATCAAATACAATAACATAGATCACGTTATTTTTGCACCCTCCTTTGCTTTGTTATTTCTTTGGGAAGAGTGAAAGCTTATACAACAGCGGGATCAAAAGGGAAAAGACTAAAGCTTGAGATACAATTGAAAAGCATAGGCAATAGGAATAGGGAATAAAAGATTTAAATTTCATTATCAAAAACTGTGCTTATATCAGAATACACATGTATATTAAACTTTAATTATTCCCTATTTTTATGCTTTTCAATTGTGTCTTCAATTGTGTTTTCAATTGTGTCTCAGGCATAAGACTAATCAATTAGATATCGAGAATGGTTGTGACGTCTCGTGACAATTTGAGCTCTCGATTGAGTATATACACACGCATTCAAAGGGAATTAATGCCAAAGAAAATATATAATTAACTTAATTATTATTTGCGGGATACAATAAATGGAGAAATATAAAATAATTATATTGATAAATGAATATCAAATCTCGTTGATCCGCCTTGTTGACTGTCTAATGATTCTTTCATTTTCATTCTATTGAAACGAGATCGTGAAGGATAACTCAAATCGTTATTGGTCAATTTTTTTAAGTGTTATACTGTTCGCGGATTCAGTATAAACTTTTATGCCAGCACACTAAATCTTAAAAGGAAATAAGGAGATAGAAAAGGATGACTAGGAAAGCGATGAAGAAAGCTAAAGAAGAAGGGATTTATCGCGGATGAATGTCGCCTTACTTAGCTCTCGACAAAGCAACAAGAGGATTCTCTATCGTTATGCTGATTAAATCGTACCGTTTTATTAAGACGGTGGATGTAAGCTTCAAGATTCATAGAGCCGCGAGAAAATGGTTCTATGCCATTTTACTCTGAAACGAGACGAGTTTCCAATCATTTCCTATTGTCGCAGACACAAACCATCATCGACCTCTACTCCACCTCACTTCCCAATTCCGTAGAACATTCGAAGCAAATTCCAGAAGATTTCAGAAGATTTTATTATACTCAGAAATCTCATTTGCGTTCTAAACGTACATAGATACCATTGATCCCCTTATTCAAATCGCGAAGTAATATCAGTCGTCCTTATTCGAATAAATTCCTCGAGTTTATTCCTCATTTTCACCTAGTCGATTTTACTTTTCGATGTGACGCAAATATTTTTCTCTCCTCACATTTGTTTTGAAAACGTATAATAAAATATTCAAATTAATGAATGGATGGGCATTAGAAAAAGAAGCTGTGGTTTTTCTGAAAAATTACAACGCGAAGTTATTATTGAACAGAGAATACAGCTTTGTTTCCAACTCGAGCAGACATTGTTCTCTCTGTTGCGTGATGAATGAGAAGTATCGAAAGATTTAATAATGCAGTTTTACTTCAAGGTGAAAGAAGAACTTGTCTATATATCACAGCCAATGGCTTAAATTTGACATTATAATGATATTTGAACTGTTTTAAATTGTTAACTTCATTGTCGTCGTTTTACTATAAAATTACGATATATTGAAACAATGGCGACTCAAATTATTAGTTAAATTTGAGTCACTTTATTAGATTTAACAATGTAGTTATATGATAGCGAAAAAATTCTTCAAATATTTATAACTCTATCGCAAGTACTTCCCATGAATGCAAGTTAGTATTTAAAGTTACTTTTCTAAATTAAAAAAATTTCTTCGATAGCATGACAATATATCGAGCTTCTTCAGAGAAACCAAAGAGAAGCCGGAAGATATTCTAGCGAATGGATGTGCAAGCTTGCAAAAGACTCTCGAACCAATTTGTGCGGACTCATCTCATAAATCCGACATCGGGAAGTCTGCCGAGAGGTAAATAACGTCATTATAGGCGACTATTGGAAGAGTATCAAGTGATCGTTGGCGTCATATTGACGCTTATTTCCGCGAAAGAAATATTTATCTTTTCACGGAATATTCGGCGAGTTTTTCCGTTTCCAGCTGCGCAAGTGTTTCAGCAACGCTACAATATTGAATGTAAGATCGTATATAAAATAATTTTATTTTCTTTTTTATTTTTTTCCGACAATACTTGGCAGAGTTCTATAAAATTACGTCGGCGATCGCAATCACAGTCTACAAAATATTTCATGTAGTTTTTTCGAATTAAATGGAAAAATAATTTATACTTACGATACACCATTCGTCCGAGGATGGGCATTCTATCAGCATGTGTGCAGTGGAATTAATGCACGGTGTAATGCTGCCAACTCCCTCATTGTACTGTCCACATTTGTAACATCTAAGACCGTGTGTGACACCTGCGATACATATATAACATTTAATCGCCAAGTAAAACCACATGGGAAGCGCGCCGCTGCCGCAAGAATAATCCGGAATAGAAAGCTGAATGACGAACAATCTACAATCATCGACGAGATACTATTAAAGATGGTCGGCATTTATGGAAATTCGCGTGCCTGTTAAAATTTAAGAGTTAGAAATTAATAATATAGTACAAATTTCATGATTTATTAGTTTCGTAGACATTATATGTTTAAAACTTAATAATACTCGATTTTTATTTAAAACTGTGATTTTAATATCATCCGAGTGTTATCAATAGAGATGATAATTGCAAAGAAAAAAATGTAATTTTTCGGCAATATATAAAATATAGCATTAAAAGTATGCATATTTATTTATACAGCATTTATATAATAAAAAATCACGAATTTAATAATGTATTATCGAAATATTTATATTATCAATATTTATACAGTTAATAATCAAATTTTTATTAATTGTCGGTAACATTATCGTTTTTCAATTATCCCAGGGTCTCCCGGGAACCCCATTAATTATAATCACGAAAATTTGCCCAGGATCGACAGTCTTTAATAATATTTCGTCGGTGCTATAATACAAATCGCATGAAGCACGAAAATCTCTGTTGAACTCATGTCTAATTATATCTAATGAATTTTTTTTTTGAGTTATTTTTAATTATTTCTATAGCTTGCCACTACTCCTACTCGATTATGTGTCGTTAATTTAAATAAAATAGAATTAAATTAACAATTTAACTTAATTCAAGAAAATGTATTCCCTAAATCTGATTTAGTGGGTAATCACTGATTAATGGCAATAGATAATAAATTCAAACTATTAAAAAACCAAAATTTGAACATTATATAATTGAAATACCAATATTTTTGCCAATTTCAATCTTCAAACAAAGTTAGGAATTCCATGTTTTATTGGCTGCATTCAACAGAAAAAGCAACTTTGCAACTGTTGTAAGATTCTCGATATTATTGGTTTATACATTTATTCAAGAGAGGAATTAAGGACAAGATATACCAATCATATAAGGAAGTTTATAATAGTTGCTTTCTCTGCTGAATGCAGCCAATTGATTACCAGTGGCATCCTAAGGACTGATGTCAATAATCATTCACTGATTCAAATTTAGAGATTATTACATTTAACTGAAATTTAATTTATTATTATTTACTAAATATAATATGTTAATATGGACTATTTACTTTGTTTAGTAAAACTAACTACAGAAATGGATTAATTTATTTTGATACACATATATTAATTAAAAATAACAAAATGTTATTTAATTTAAAGAATTCGATTACTATTGCTTTTTTCATAACAGTGTTTTCTTGATTTTTCATTTGCTCTATATCGACTATATCGAAGCGAAAATAATTTGCGACAGTTAAAATGCAACAGATTCGCAATTGGCTTCTCAACTCGACACTCACGATCCGATTCTTAATCCCGTATGTATGCTACAAGATTCGAAAATTGAGGATTGGGACTCACAAAACGCTTAATCACGCCTCGTAAATGCGAAAACTCGGACGTTCTTCCCGCATATTCCGTACGCGGCGCGAGTAATAACGGTTTGCCTCATTTCGCGAAGTTAGTCAAGTTTCATAATGCAAGCAATGCGCGAAGAAAAGTTTTACCGTGCTTTTTCGCGCCGGACCGATCGAACTCTTTTTCGCCGGCGAATATAATGTGCGTTCGTAAAATCAAAAATTTATGAGGTGATACTAAGCGCCACCGTCGATTCCAGATGAGACGCTCGCTAGCAGAGGTCGTGGAAGATTCGCCACTCGCTAGGTTAAACTCGCTTGCCTCTCATGACGAAAAAAAAAAAAAAAAGAAATAAAAAGAACCAAACAACACAAGATTTTACGTTCGTCTTAAATGCAGTCCGCCAATTCAAATGCTTCTTATAAATTTCAAATTTATTCAATTTTTAAATTGCTTTAAAAAATTTATATATACCACATTTATTTATTATTTAAAAATAATTAACGCGTATAAAACTTTGATATCGTACGCTATGAGAATTTTTCAATAGCCGATAAGTTTGCTCGACAAACTTAGCGGACTTGGCTTAATTATTTCTATGTTCATGAAATAAAACTTGCGACAGTTTCGCATTGAGCGTTTTTTTTAAAGCAGAAAAACAAGAAGGATAAGATTAATAGAAGTAATGAAATGCTTTAAGTGTCCGTCGTACAAATACGCGGTGGGTTCTTCATCGAACTTCAACAGTTCCTAACGCAATTTGTTGAGAGAAAGAGAGAGAGAGAAAGAGGGGGAGGGGAGACTCTCTCAGCATACGGTCCTCTTGAGAGGTGAACCACCGTGAACCTCGTTAGAACTTTATGAAGTTGCAAGTTCATCCAGGCCGATGTGTTTCGTAACACTGCTCGCCGCAATGTTGACTCGGTCCTCGACAAAGTATTAAGACCGTCCGTTTGCACACATTCATTTATATGTCATAGTGCATTAAATTGAAACTGTAAGACGAGAAAATGTCAGACAGTCTGGAAAAGAGATATATAACTTGAATAAATCTTATCTATACTATATCTTATCGCAGAGTCATGTACCTATAAGAATAACAGGATTTTATGTCTCGATTTGTAAACAGGAAGCTAGCACAAACATAAAAAAAAAATTATGTTTTTCATAATCTTATTTTTTTATTGACCTACCGCAAAGCAATGTAAAATACAATATATAGATCTGGAGCGTAAGTTTCAGATCGCATAAGTTAGGCCGCAATATAACAAGAAGAAACGAGATCTTAGCGACGATGCTATTACATGTAAAACCGCGACAATTTAGAGTAAAAGAATGGATCAGCGTACTCCTCGCATTAAGAATTTCTTTCTGTCTGCCAGTGTTTTTCTATCTCCAATAAAATATTTTTATCGTATCTTGACTGAATATCCATCTTGCGCCGAAATCGACTCAATAAAGAGGCAACTTTTCCAATTTTCTACGAATCGACTGTTCGGAATTCCAGTAAACGAGCCTTTTCATTTGTACGACTTAACTTTTCATCCTGTAGAAACCAATCTCTATTCTTTTCAATTTTTTTTTGCCATGCATCTATGTAGGAGAAATAAATAATATTGTATACCATAAATTTAAACTGTTCTTACAATTTTATGAAATTGGATATATATATGATATATATAT